ACACTTGAAATTTAGTAAGTAGGTAATAGCAGTAAATGACAAGCAAGTGTGCTTTGTTTTGGTTCTGAAAGTATGAAAAAACTGTTCATTTTCTTGGGCAACATGAGCTCTAGTATTTCAAAACAGGGCTTTATTTTATACCTCTACCATATTTTTAATATTGTTTTATATTATTATTTAAAGCATGAGACTGTATCTACTGGATACGGGATTGACAGATCCGCAAACATTTTAGCCTTTGATCTCCAGAACTAATCTTGAAGGGACATGCATCACTGCCCAGGCTTCCAACCGTAGTCTTTAGATCAGATTGCAAAATTGGGACAATATTCTGCCATCATTTTAAATATTTCTGACATATTTAGAAAAACAAAAAACCCAATAAAGATGCATTCAACTATACCACCAAAACATCCGTTTTTGTTATAAATGTGGAGTCTTTCGTGAAATTATTGATATGAAAAAAAAAATCTCCAGTCTCCTAGAATCTCTCAGAAGATATTCTACACCACTTCTCCTGCAAGGATGAACTATTTTTTAAATAAAATTTTCTAAACATATGCATCCGTATTTATCATACTTAATACACTACACTGAAATTCTAAACTAAACAAATCCTATTTCCAGAGTACTCAAAATTATTCTATGAAGAAAACTGTATTTCCAGGAAAAGCTAAATATCAAGTTAGAAATGTATTTTGTTCTTTTCGCACATATACCTACTAACTCTGATGAGACAGTAGGCCAGGTGAGATCTACACGAAACCCAGAAACTCTGGAACTTAAACAATACCTTTAATATAATAAACATATCCAACTTTCAAATACAAATTAGAACCAATTAACAAAAAAGACACTCAAAACAACTTTCAGAATGTCAAAAAGGGCTTTTGCAAAACAGTGCACATTTATTTGAGGTATAGTATCCATGAAAAAACAAACCAACCATCAACAGTTAAAAAGAATTTTTACTCAGCAAGGCAAGAGAAGTTAGGTGGCACACACAGAGTAAACAGATGTAAACAGTGAAAAAAAATACAGAATGTTAATACCAACCAACCCAAAATTTTGGTTATGAAAACTCAAATAACACAATGTATTAAAGAAGAATAAACCAGAGGCATGCAAAATATTATTTGTAAAAATACATTCACCCACGTGGCTAAGTGAGAGTTACATGGCTAGTGGGACGGATTTAGAAAGGCAATTTTATTTTTTTAAACTGATTGTCATTCGATTTTCCATAGATGTGGAACGCTTGATGAAAAGCTCTCTGCCTTCTTCAACCCACTGGTAACTGAATTTCTGAAGTCTCCTAATAGATGTTGCCAAGGAGGTTAGTGCAATTGCGTGTTCATGATTTTGCGTGATATATAACCTCAGTCAAATGCTACAAGCAAATGGTGCATGATCTCTTACTGTTTTGGAAGGCAAAAGCTTGCAGAGCGACCAAGTTGCTCCAGATGGAATTAAAAGATTTTCATGGTTTTCCTTACAAGTGCAGCGACAAGCTCCATGGCAAAACTGGCAAGCCACTTAATATTTTAATTGCAACACAGAACATATTGGCAACCAAGATACGTTAGAGGAATCTGAACAGTGACCTGCAGTGCATGTGCTTTTCACAAAAATCAAGTTTGCTTCACATATGCATCAGGAGTCTAAACAGCACAAGACTTTTCACATCGAAGCAACTGTATCAAGGCCATCTGTCTTAGGTGCACTACAAGTCTTTCCAGTCTTCTGCTTCACCTAAACTGTTCTGAAAACAGATAGATTGAAAAATCATTTTTCACATTTGGCAAGATCAGAAACTATTGTTTCCAGACCACTAGTCTACCATTTACCCCTCCTGCACTCATATGCAATTTGCTCACTATGCAGTCTTCAAGGCTACAGCCACATCAACACTACCCCACGTAACACATCCACTCTGATCCCAATACAGTAGCAGCCATAGAGCCTATTTCTCCTCCCTATTCACATTACAGTTGAATTGTGCAGCAGACTAAGCAAAAATTCTTTTCTGTAAGCTCTGTCAACTGATTTATCTCTAGGAGTTGTATCTACTGTGCTTTGTACATTATGTTCTTTTCATTCAGAGGTAAACATGGAAAACTGTAAGCATGTGTGTTCTAGACCACAAGAAATGCAGCAGTACTACTACGGGTCATTACACAGGGGAGCACAACAAAGATAGGACATGGATGGTGGTCTTAACCCTGGAACACAGAGACCAATTGAGCAGTCTCCATAGGAGTTTAGGGTGAGGTTGTCAATCAGTAAGCTGAGCCACACAGTAAAAGGGAAAGGTTACATCCAGCTTAAATTTGCATTCTACCCCCCCCCCCAACAGGAACAAACTGCTTTTCTTGCAAAGCTGTTAACCAGAATTTTAACATCAAAAAAAATAGTGTATTTTCTCCCACATCACCACTTGTAAATAGGCTAACTTTCATTTTTCTTGATACATTTCAACTAAAACAGGGTGAGCCAGATGTTAGGCATGGAACATACAAACACCTGTCAGTTAATTTTAAGAACAAGCAGTACTCACAGTTCTAGCAAAAATAATTACTTTACATATTCTGGGTATTACAGCCATGCACACATGCAAATCCTGCCAAGCTGCTAATTCAGCTTTTGCTTGTTAATGTTTCCTTTTCAAGTTTTGTACTTCAGTGTGAAGTTTTACACTAGCTTGTTTGCAACCTAGGTTGGGTTGTTTTTTGTTCTTGTGTATCAACAGTATTGCAACACTTGCAATAAAAGTGTTGCAAAAGAATGTTTAAAGAACAAATAAAACAAAATTACTCTTGTAAATGATGCACGTACCACCCGCACTACTCCTATCACTTTTTTGAAGCTTTCAATTTGATCTTGGCATGCAAAGTTATCTGAATCGTAACTCCCAAGAGACAGCAAAACTGAGTCTATCAGT